ACCAGAATACGGCCTTCATCAATATTGTAATGCCGAATGTCCGTGAAGAGAGCGCAGAGAGCAGGAGAGATCAGCGTAAGACCACCACCAGCAATGTCCGAGGTATGCCCTGAGAATCCAATCGACCAACCTTGCAGATCCGCCTGGAGTGCTGCTGCGTCGCCAGCTGTGCCATGGGTCTCTTGCGCACGCAAAAATACTGGAACGCCGAGACAATCCCAGAAGCGGCTTGCACCGACGAGAGGCCCGCAAGGAGGAGTGGTGAATGGAAGCGAAGAGTCCCCTAGAGTTCCAAGCGAGCAAAGACAGAGAGCAGGAGGGGGGAGGGGAAAAGGGGAGCGACGATTCAGCGGGCAGACCCCCACTGGGCGAAGAAGAGCTCGAGTCGGAGTCGGAACTGCTCGAGCTACTGGCAACAAAACTGGAGGAAAGGTTAAACTCGATCCTGCCTTCTCGGGCGCGGAGGGCACCCGCCAAACAGTTCCTGGAGGTCCCTGGGGGGGGGGCAGAAATATTTGGTCCCCAGGGCGGCCTAACCTATCAGATTCAACTTCGCAAGGGACGCGTGGGCTCAGTGGCAAACGCAGCCTCGAATTTCGCACGGATCTCTGGGGTGTTCAGTCCAAGAGCATTAAGACCTGCTTCGTCAGGGCGAAGATGGATCACGTCCGAGTTCTGGGGGCAGCAGGTGAGGCGGAAGAGAGGAACTGGATCTTCACGCGAGCGAAGGCCGAAGACATCCCCGCCGATTCCATTAGAATTGGCCTGCAACCCAACTTTGGAAAGCTCTTCCTGAACCGCACCCCGTAGTTTCCCCATCTTGAAGAAGAGAAGCCGATGCTGAGGAGACAGGTTACGACGAACACGAAGGGGCCAAACATCCTGCTGATTCCGTGGGTTAACCATGCTGTAACTCTCACTCAGCTTCCTGAAATTCATCTGGAAGTCCGAAGCCATGGCCGGGGTAGGGAAGTCCAGGGTAACTTTCTTCTGGAGATCATAAGCCCGAATCCGAATGAGACTGGCTGCCTGCACGGTCGCACACTTAGAGATGATGTCCTTCGCAACCCTCTCGAGAGTAGTGGCCATCAATCGATCCTGGAACCCAAGGATGAGTAGACGGTGGGCATCCTCAAGTGACGATCCTCCTCCTGCACTTCCTCCTGTAGTGGACCCGTCCCCAACCGAGCTGTCAACTGCACGGCGCTTACCTCCTTGACTGTTCACAAGAGGGGGCAAACGGGAGCTCACCTGAGCCATCTGTTCCATGGCATTGAGACGGGTCTCTGACTTCTCTAGGCGGTCGGTGATCTCTTTCAACATCTGACCTTGTACTCCAACAGTGGCAGCAAGACCCGAGACCTTATCATCAATCGATTTCTCGATATTGGCGAGCTGGGCGTCTAGCATAGCTTGGATCGCGGCCATATCGACCGCCATCGCGGTCGAGTCTGGAGAGGGGCAGAGAGGGTATGCACTCAGTGGGATGGTAGTGCAGGGAGCCGCTGGCAGCCTGTCTGCCGAGACCCTCGATCTGCTCCTTGGCTGCTCCCAAGCTGGAGCCACGGAGCAATGGTTCCAACTTGAGCCAAAATGGCTACGGATTGATGATGATGATGAAGATGAGGATGATGCTGCTGCTGATGATGATGTGTTCAATTGCACTGCGGAAAGCTAGAGTTTTCAGCGGTCCAGCTGAACATGCCATCATCACCACCATCACCATCTTAGTGAACCTACCAGCATCATGATCATTGACCGCACTATACGCATCATCACCACCATCATCACCAGCACCAGCACCATCGCCACCACCATCATCACCACTTCCACCACCACCACCACCATCAGCATCATCATGACCATCATCAGCATCAGCATCACCATCATCACCATCATCCTCATCCTCATCCTCATTATCATCATCCTCATCCCCATCCTCATCCCCATCCTCATCCTCATTCTCATCATCCCCATCATCATCAGCAACATCATCATCCTCGTCATCATCGTGACTCGTCGACCCCCGGGCTCCACGCACGCCCCCACCGAAACCCGCGCCGACCGCACCGCGCGCGATCCCGGGAGCGCGGCCTGCCGTGGACGGCCCTCGAAGCCTCCCCCCGCCGCCCCGCCGCGTCACCCTCCGGGCGGCGCCCCGCCGCGGCCGCCGGGCGGTGGGCCCTCGGCGGCGCGAGCCGACGGCGGCGCGAGCCGTCGGCGGCGAGCCATGGACCCCCTCCCTATACAGTCGGGGCGCTGACCTGAGGAACCCTAGATAAGGAACGGGGCCCCTTTTCTTCCAAAGTTGAACTCAGATTTTCCATGGAAACCTTCAGGAAGACCAAAGGCGAACTGCAAAACAACTAAGGAACCCTAAATAAGGAACGGGGCCCCTTGTTCCCATAAGTTAAGCTTTGATTCCCCATGGAGAACGAAGGGAAAACCCAGGGCAAAGCGTACAACCATCGAGGAACACCGAGCCCCTCCCCAGCGAAAAGGGTTCCTTCTTCAGCGACTGCACGGCAGGTTCGTGCCGTGCGGACCCCGGCGCGGGCTCCCGACACCGCGGGGATCGCTCCAGCCCGAGAGCGATCGGACGCGCCGTGAACGCCGGAGCGCTCCACGACGGGCCGATCGTGGGCCGCGGGCGGCGTTCGACCTTCCACGCGCGGGGTGGGGTCGCCGCTGGTCGGCACGACGCGAAGCTGCCGTGCAGTCATCGTGCTACCAGAAGAAGCCCCGAGTGGAAGCGGAGCGACGCGAGCGCGAAGGCGCCGGAGTCGGGCACGCGGGTGTGCCCCCGTACCCTGTCGGGCCGGGCGCGGGAGGCCGTGGCCTCGCATCGTGTGCGGATAGAAAGAAGTCGTCGATTATTTTTTGTGTTTGCAAATAACATGGCTTGTATCGTTTACACAAGCTCAGCCGCCGTGCGATTCAAAGATTCGCTAGGCAAACCAGGCGCACCCCAAGAGCTAACCTGCGATAGGCAAGCACATGAAGCAAACCGTGGCCTGAAAGAGACAGGTCACGTTGTGAAGCATATGGAGCACTGATCGCGCTACAGGCAGCTAATCGACGACTTCCTTCTTTTTCTCAAGAGGAGTCGTCGATTAGATGCTGCAGGAACCAGTGCACAAAAGAGGCAAGGAACAAGACGAGTATGAATCGGAAGATATAGAGGGCGTCACACAAGGACCCCTGGACACGGAGCGAAAGGGCTTGTCTCGCCGCGGCGAGCCTCGGCCACGACCAGGTTCCCCTGCGTACAGCTCTAAGCAGCGGCCTGGAAGCCCAAGCCCCTCCCGAGTCCAACGCGGCCCTTCTGGATACCCGACGTCATGACTTGCCTCATAGCGTCGACCCTCAGAGGCCTTCACCCATCCCCCGAGACAGGCTCCTCCTTCCGAATCCTTTTCCGACGGTCTTGGGGCCTGGCAGGGCCCCCCCCCAAGCCGAGAATGGCGAAACACCTCCCGTCGTGTTTTTTTTTGTTTGTTTTGTCATGACTCGAGGACGTCCGGGTACAGTCGGGCCTAGGACCGAAGAGCATCCCTTAAGAACATGAGATCCTCCGCCGACCCAAAACCCCAGAACATCCAAGGGTCCCCGCAGCAGGATGCACGAGAGCATCCAACAAACACATGAGGGCACCCTCCCCGAGCCGACCTCGATGGTATACCTCGGTCCGACTGTATCCCTACAGTCCATATCCGTCGGCGGCGCATCCCATCCTCAGGTCCCTACCCCTCGGGGCCCCACCTTATATCTTTGAATCGCCGAGCCAAACGCGGCCGTGGGGGTTGCTACAGGTGCCCCTGGCCCAAGGTGCCCCCAGCATTCAGTTCCAGTTTGGAGCACCTGGGGCCCCCTGAGCCTCGTGAGGGCTGCTCTGGAGGGCGCGGGGGGCCTCCTTGGAAATCCTTGGGGCACCTCGGGCCAGGGACACTTCTAGTAATACCCGAACCATCCTTCCGGCCGCCCCGCCGACCCGCCCACCACCCTCTTGCCATCGCTCGGACGTCCATCCACCGCGTTTTTGTTCGGCTTCGTGCGTTTAGTGTTCCGCAAGATGATCCAAGATGCTCCCTAACAGGCTGCACACTATGCCCAAAAACCCTGGGGGGAGCGAGGGTCCTGGCCGTGGGTCTGGTATACCAAATTCCCTCCCCGGGGCGTGGCGTTTGTGTGCTGAACGTGGCCCCGTGGGGTGGAATCTGACGAGGGTGGGGAGGGTGTGGTATACCAAAAAACACGTGAGGACAAGATGCTCCTCCAGGAAAGATGAAGCAACGGCATGGACATAATCTTTTGGCGCTCCGCGTGGATTTCTTGGATCTGCGCTGGACCCCCCTCCCTGGCGCGCGGAGCGCGCCAAGGGCGGCGCCGGAGGCGCCGAAAGGGGCACCAAGCGCCGGTCCAAGAAACCCGCGCGGAGCGCGAACAGCTTATGCGTATGCTCTCTGTGCCTCTTCGATCCTCGATGGCCCTCGCCGAGGAGAGAACAAAAAAGGCACGCGCCCGAGCGATGCCAGAGTTATGTTGCTCCCATCCGACTTAAGGACAAAATCCCAGAAATAATTTCGAGCACCCCGAGAAGTATCGAAAGAGCGTCGAAAGACTGTCGGGCGAGTGTCTCCCAGGGCCCGACACGTGACAACCCTCGAGTTTCGGTACTTGTTTACTGTGCTTGAAACTCTCCCTGGGGATCAAGGCTAAGGCAGGTTGGATCATCACAATGGCTCCGAAATGCAAAACTGCAGTACCAATCGGAACCCGAAGTCGAAGCGAAGAGCCATCGCAGCCATCGAGAGAGGCCGAGGCAAACGAGCCATCGAAAAAGTGCAGCGAAGTGCCGTCGAGAAGTGCAACGAGCGAGCATCGAACCATCGAGAGAGGCCGAAGCAAGCGGGCCATCGACAAAGAGCAACGACGTGCCGTCGAAGAGTGCAGCGAGCGAGCTTCGACGCCAAAGGGCCCTTCGGGCCCGCCCGCGGCACGAGGCGGTGGGCCGCGCGGCGCGAGCCGTCGGCGGCGATCAGCTGCACGTCGGGGGGCAGGGACTCGGCGGCCTGGCGCGGGCCCGGCCACGGGGGCTAGGTTGGAAGTCGGGCCTGTCCCCCTACAGGGGGATCTTGTGTGTTTTATGATAATAGTAATAATAATAATAATAAGCTACTAATACTATACTACTACTACTACTACTACTACTACTACTACTACTACTACTACTACTACTACTACTACTACTACTACTACTACTACTACTACTACTACTACTACTACTACTACTACTACTACTACTACTATAATAACTACTATAATGATTCTGATACTGATGATCAATAATAATAATAATAACAATAATACTAATAATACTAATACTAATAATAACAAATAATAGTAATATTGATAATAAAAATATTGAAAATAAAAATTATATATATATATATATAAACATTACTGACTCTTCTCCAGCGGCCCAGAGACCCACTCCAGAGGGCTGGTTAGATCCTTCGCTGGGGGATATCTTGGAACCTTCTCTTTTTGACATGCGCCAGGCGAGAAGAGCGAAAAGGTTCCTTCCGAAGGGATACTCGGTCTACGAGTACACCTGAGGATTCAACAAAGGCTTTGGCAATCACAGCCCAAACAGACACAGGGAGGGAAGGGAGGGAGACTTGAACGAAATAGTTACAGACAGGCAAGCTGACAGTGGCGGGCCTCAACGAAGCGAGAGATATAACAATCAAATATTAAAAACATCACTGACTCTTCTCCAGCGGCCCAGAGACCCACTCCAGAGGGCTGGTTAGATCCTTCGCTGGGGGATATCTTGGAACCTTCTCTTTTTGACATGCGCCAGGCGAGCAGAGCGAAAAGGTTCCTTCCGAAGGGGTACTCGGTCTACGAGCACACCTGAGGATTCAACAAAGGCTTTGGCAATCACAGCCCATGCCGTGATCCATTACTGGAGGGCCTCCTGAAAGCACTGAAAGATGGAGGCCTCCGCAGCTGTAGCGCGCCTCGCGAGATCGGAAGGAAGACGGGCGGCCTGGAGAAGAAGGCGGCCGCTCTTTTCATATCGTTTTACAGATTTGGCGTGGGCCCAGCGCCCGCGCTTCCGAACAACTGCTAGACTGCGAGCGCGCACCAGCACGTCGTGACTGGGCGCTGAGTGACGGGCCACGTGGGGAGTGAGGTGCCCTACTTTGCCGAGGATAGAGCGACTATATTTCCGAAAAAGTGCTTCATACTTGGCCAGAGACAGGTGCGGGAAGACTAGCTGATCAGAAGAGGTGTCAGACTTACGGCGCCTAGCCCACATCTCAAGCACGGAACCTACCCACTCACGGCCGGCAGAGTCGAGTACTACAGTGTCGTCGCTCTCACCAGTCTTTGTGGTCTCACCGAGGTCTGAGTTACCAATGACAACAGCCCACTTGTTCTTTGACAGTGAAGATGAGAGCTTTGAGGGCTGAACCACGGAGCACCACCGCAGGTCGCAAATCTCAGAAGGTCTCATGTAGGCGTCTAGTTGGATAGCCAGGGCGACGGCAGCCTCGGTGTGTTTGTCCCTCAGGAAGACACTCATGAACAAATAGAAGACTGAGAGCGGCCATGGATGTCGTGAGGAGCCAGGGAACCTGCGGACCCAGCCCTTCATCGCCTCGCGAGCCATCGAGAGGCGGGCGGACTTGGCGATGTCCGACCGTGGGAAGAAAGTTAGATACCCCCAGAGTGTGTACCGTCCTTCAGCGGCATGTCGAGCATCACTCATGAGAACATCAAAGTACTTGCACATCTTCTGATCGATCACGGACTCTGGAGCTTGTCTGAGGTCATCTGAGCGCGTCGCCCAATCGAAAAACTCACGAACTGCAGTCCCATATCGCTCCAGCGACGTCGAGGTGATCGAGCCGAAACGGGCAACACCTCCATCCACAGGGACGGGCGCCGACGGCCCGAAGCACAGGTTGCGGCCCTTGATCGCCTCCACGAAACTAGAGACGCGGGAGCGGCGGCCAGCGACCTTTCGGGCCTTTCCTCGAGCGGGCTGCCTGCTTCCTTGCTGCTTCGAGGTTGGAGTCCTGACCGAAGATGATGAAAGGCCGCAGGTGGTCAAACCTGCTCTCGAGGTCGGCTGAGTCGACGGCGCCAGCGAGCCCGAGGTCAGGCTCCGCTTGAAGCCGCTGCCGAGCTGGTCGGAAGCGCTCCCGGGCGCGCGAAGCCGGCCGTCGTGCAGCATCGCGAAGCCGTGCCGCCAGGTCCCCGCCGTCAGGCGGGTCTGAGCCGCCTCGGGCCCGCGCAGGCGCTGACATGCCCGCGGCCAGGGCCCATGCCTGGCAAAGACTGCGGGGGTAGGCTCCAGCACCTGCCGTACGATTGCGAGAAACACGAGCCCCAGACGGCAACGTCGCGGTCTCGAAACCCCTGAGCTCAACATGTGAATGATCTCTGGGGCACACCGAAGCTAAAGAACTCAGGGCTGAAAGGTTAGTGAGAATAGCTGTCGGCTTCATGTGGGAGGCACCGTACTACAGTGCACCAAACACACGCGAACAACGTCAGGAAGGTCAGTGAGCTCTCGAACGGGATCGAAGTCCCAAAGTCTGGAAGATCTCGGATTCTCAATGCTCCAGAAGACACCGTTCCGCGAACACTCATAAGCAACACGGCAGCTGAACAACGCCAGAGCCACACCTACACGCTCATTGTGCGCGGCTTTCTCATAGTTGGCGATGCCATGACGAGCCCGAGACCACACGCAACAAGGTGTCCCAAGATGTATATACCAGAAGCGCCCCTTTCGGATGTCCTCTAGGATGATGTTATGGACCTTCGGGTCCAGGAGGTCACATTGAGCCCCATCTTTGATGTCCATGCAGGGGTAAGTAGACAGGCCGAGCTCCTCGAACGCCTTGGAGAGCCCACCCTCGCCCGAGAACAGCCCCAAGAAACCCTGGCCCAGCTGGGCCCGTCTCCGAAGTTGAGCGCGCCCAAGACGTAGAGGGGGGCAGGCGGTCCGACTGGTCACCGAAGGTGTCGAAGTAGAAGGCGGACAGGACACTCGACGCAGAGAGGCTTCGATTTCCTCGGGAGGCTGCAAACCCATATGCATGTCGCTCTCGGCCGCGGCGGGCGGATGCCCTGCGAGACCGAGTCCAGGAGGCAGGCTGCCCGCCTTGACTACAACGTTCAAAGAGGAGTAAGGGAGAGAAGATGATGTCATGTCTGTCGAACTCTGTTTGTTGCATCCTTTGTCGGGGGAGTTGTGTTCGAACCGACGAGATGGAGCGTCGGCCACGTTAAACTTCGCGTTGACATACCGCAGCCTCCAACGCACTCTACAACCGATTGTGTAGGCCGCAGCTCGCCGGCATTGTGCGTTCAGAGCTGCTGAGCGGCTGGGCCGCCCCTTGTCCAGGCAGCCAACACATACCATGGAGTCCACGATAGAAACTAGGCGGCGTCCGCAATTCTGGCGAACGCAACAGGCATGCCGCAGCCCCATCACTGCAGCGCGGGTCTCCTTCACGTTGATGTGCTCTCCAGGCCAGCGCCAGCGCCTCGCTGCCACCAGCCTGAAGCCCTCCGAGTCGAACCAGGAGGCGGGCAGCGGCGGCGCCAGAGGGCCAACCTGACCGAGGCACTCGGCGTCGGGATCGTCAGGGTCGGCAGGACGCCGCCGCAGACGGCGAGGGCGAGACCGATGAGGTCCGTCGAGGGCAGAGCCCTCCTCGGCCCTGCTCTGCAGCCACTGGCCGAAGGCCGTGGCGGGGGCGGAGCCCGCGTTCGGCTCGGCGGAGCGGCAGCGGGGCTCCACCTCGTGATCCAGCTGCGTCTCGTCTGCCTCCCTGTAGCCGCCCATCTCAGCGACATCGGCGGCCGAAGTCAGACCAACACGGGGGCCTCGGAGGTGCTGCCTGAAACTCCACTTTCCTTCCAGCGGAAGGCCGACTGCAACTCCTCGACCGTGGCCTTCTTGTACATCAGGCCGTACCCGTTGTCGGCGGAGTCGCTGGCATAGACACGCGGCACGTAGGGCGCCGCCAGGTCGACCTCAGCGAGCCAGACCAGCCCAGCGACTAACCTCATCTCGTGCATGACCTCGCGCGGCAGAGGGGTCCGAACACCCCAGGCGGTCTCGGCGAACCGGTACGTGGCTGAGAGCGCAGCGTACCCGGGCCTGGCCAGCATCAGTAGTGATACAGCGTGGCCCAGCCAGACCTCCATGTGCTCTCCTCGCATCTTGCCACGACGCAGGAGAGCACGGGTAGCCAAGTCAAAACGCCACACTCGGGAGGCCTTGTTGCGAAGCTATCCCTTCCTGAGGTCGATCTCAACACCCACGGTCTCGAGGTGGGTCACCACATCGGGGTAGGACCACGTGATAGGTAAACCAGATCGGTCAGCTTCGGCCTGCAAGGCGGAGCTCGCCTCACGAGCCAGAGAAGCGTCCCGGCCGAAGACGGCGATGTTGTCCACATGACCTTAGACTCATGTAAGTCAGGGGCGGGATGATGCTCCTTCACCATGGCAGGCGCGGGTAGAGACGACGAACGCAGCGCCCGCTCTGTCATAGCGGATACAGCCTCCTGCGCAAAGTACAGAGCCCAGGGCCACCCCATGCACATAGCGCGCATGCACGGATACAAGACCATGTCGTCCTCCACGGAGACCATCGTGTTCAGCTCGGGGTCCCAGAACGCCCCGACGTTGATGCCGTACGTGTCCCTGATCTCGGCGGCGGGCAGCGGGTCGTCAAAACCGAACCACTCCGCCAAGCCATCGATGGCGAAGTTGTAGAAGCAGTCCTCGACATCGGCCTCGTTCCCGTGGGGGTCCCAGCCTATCACGCTGCCGACACCGTCGACGGACTCGCCGCCCACGGAGAGATCGAGGTCCGCAAGGGCCCCAGCTGAGCCGAGTCTTGAAATAGGCGGGGCACGATGACACGAATTGGCCTGTCTGGCATCCACAATCATTCTGATCTCACCTGGTTTCTTCTTTATCACAAAGAAGAGGGCAGCGCGAGCCCGGAGACGACGCCTGAAAGTTATCAACCCTAGCTCATACAACGCCCTGAAGAGTCGCCAGCGTTCTGTCCGACTCGAGCGAAGGACAGGATCCCAGTAAGGGCGAATAGGATCGGTGTGCTGACGCGCGAACTCCATCTCCCCCTCATCTTTCTCGATGTACAGTGCAGGGTTGCGGATCATGTCCGCGGGCAAAGGCGGCAAGAAGTTGGCCACAGAGCGAGGTCGAGCGCGCCCCTTTGCGACCTTGAGCTTTGTCAGATGGAAAGGCGCGAGGTTCTTCGGCTCCTGACAGTACAGGTCCTTGGAAGCCAGCAACTCGCGAGCAGCCCCCTCGGCCGCCAGGCCAGGCGGGGGGGGCCCCACAGCGGCAACGCGCTCCGTGGTGCTGTCCAAGATCCATTCCTGAACGGCAGTCGGGGCCCGAGAAGACCGGCGAGCCTGGCAAACACTATCTGAATTCGGTTGAGCAGCAGCGAGATGGTTGAGCGAAGCCCGCGCCGAGAGCACTCGCTGTCGCTGCTCGGAGCCCAAGCCCGAGCTGTCGAGCTGAGAGGGCAAAAAATGCGGCAGAGGGAAAGGGTCCCCGTGCCTCCGTCTTGAGGGCCTCCACCGGGTAGCATGTCTCCGATCCGTAGCAGGAGCGTCGGGCCGAGCTCGGGGATCGGACTCGGCCCGGAAGGCCGCGGCCACCCCGGGGCCTCCTCCTCGCCCTTGCTCCCCTTCTCACCTCGGCCGCGCCCACGACCGCGACCTCGTCCTCGGCCTGAGTCTGCAGGGGCACGAGAGTTCTGCATGGCCTGCTGCTCCTCGTTCCACAACCGAATCTGCTTGTAGATCGCGGCCTGCTCCTTGAGGCGGCCCGTGACCCACTCCGTGAACTTGTTCGCGCTCGCCTGGCCCTGCTCGGTGGTCGGAGCGCGAAGCAAAATCTCCAACCCACCGTAGTCAGGATGGCGAGGGTTACGAGCCACCGCGGTCTCATCCTGGCAGATCCTGCGCATGATGAGTTCGAAGCTCAACAAGTTGGTCACGTCGAGCTGGTCTGTCTGAATGGCCAGCCGAACTGACTCGCACAGCACGCAATGAATGTGGGCCACCGCCGAGGATTCGCTGACTCCCGAACGGCGAACCCACTGTCCGTGATAAGAAGAAAGATCTCCAGGGCCATCCCGAACTGAAACGAGCCACTCCTTGGCAACCCGTGGTCCAGGCATGGCCCAATCGTCGAAGCTCGTCTCGCGCATCAGGGATATAGCGTCCGGAAGTGGCAGACGACGGCGGCCTGCGGAGTCCCGATGGTCACCCAAAGTGCGTAGGTCCCCACCCTCCGAGCTCCGCGAGGTCATCCACCCCTGCAACTGGTTGCTCTGTGCCTTCTCTATGAACAATTCGAGGCCACTCACCAATGCCACGCCCTTGGACTGCCCCAAGGAAGCCTGGTCCAACTCTGCATCGACCAGGGGTTGGGCAAACCGTGAGTGACCTACCTCTGCGACGACCCAAACGTAGTTCTCCATCTCCACGTCATGGTCGCCATCGCCCAAAATCGCTGCCTGAACTGCAGCTTGCCTCTTCAGAGCCAGAATCTCAGCTCGAGGCACAGGGTCGAAGCCATACACCTCGCCCCGACGACTCGCAGGGAACATCGAATTGCGTTCCAGGACGAGGTGGCGCTGCTCTAGAAGATTGTGACGCACAAGCTCCAAGTCGGGGGTGATCGCAATCCACACCCCCGCTGTGATCTTCTTCACTAGAATACGGTGATGCCAGAACATGCCTCCCTCGTCATTGGGATAGTGCACGAGTACTTGGGGTTCTGGGGTGTCTAACGTGTCCATTGTGAGAGCCGATGGTCACTGAAAAAGTCGAGTCCGACGAGCTACCAAGCACCTCACGAATGCGGCTGAGCAGTCCTCGTAGGACTCCAAGGGCCAGCACCGCGGCCCAACTCACTCCCACGCCGATGAAGACGCCCACCGTCAGCCAGAAAGCCCAGGCGCACGGAACCGCTGGGGTCGTCGACGGGCACTCGGTCCCTTCGGGCTGCCTTCCACAGCTCAGGGCGGGGCAGCTTGGACAAGGCGGGCACGATCCGCAGGTGACTGCGGCTGACGCGGGGCAGGCTGGCACCGCGGGACAAGGGGGAGCTGCGGGGCACCTGCTGAGGTACGATAGCAGGCCGTTGACAGCTAAATCTTGGAAACGCTGCTGCCACATCGGCCCTCAAGACTTGAGCGAAATAGTTACAGACAGGCAAGCTGACAGTGGCGGGCCTCAACGAAGCGAGAGATATAACAATCAACAATTATATATATATGTATATCACTAAAAAATGCACCCAAAATGCTTAAACATAGTAAAACAATCGTCACCAGACTAATTGTTGACTCTTTTTGGATATTCCCCCTGTAGAGGGAGAGGCCCGACTTAAGGCTACGTGCAGAGTTCTGTCCATGCGCAGAACCGCCGTCGCTCTTCGCACGGCGAAGGGATTGGACGAGGAGCCATCGAAAAAGTTTCTCTGTGTCTGGAAGCTGGCAGAGCGCCGATCGAGGCTTGGCCATGATCGCCACCGCCGCCCTCATCAGATGAGGGATCCTCCAGGGTCCGAAGCCGCCGGGCATATCCCTGAACGCGCGCCCCCGCTACAGTCAAAACGTGTACTAATGGAGGTGTGGTAAGGTTAGGTCGGGCATGTCCTCCTTACAGGCGGATTTTGGACGGAAAATAAAGCATGGTCAAACAATACACCCCAAGATGAGAAACGCGTAGTCGAAACATTGTCCCCATAATGTCTCTTGACTATGTTTGAATACTCCTCATGTAGAGGGACAGGCCCGATTTCATGGCAAGGACGCGAGGCCCTTGGAGGCCGAAGTTGGGACCTTCATGGGAAGCGGGCGGCCGACGGGCAAGGGCGGGCTCCTGGAGGCGAGGACACACAAAGGGCACCCTCGCTGAAGGCGCGTGTCCGCATTGGGCGCGCTGACTGCAGGAGGGCTCCGCGCGGCCTCGTGCCCCGGCGTGTGGCTCGGAGCACGGATTAAATCGGGCGTGTCCCCCTACAGGGGGACTTTCGACGGAACACACATACCACAAACATACCCCAAAAAGATCCCAGAATACTAGAAATATAATCCCCAGACTATTTTGGGGCCATGTTTTGACTATCTTTATGGTATTTCTTATTTTTCGTCGAAAATCCCCCTGTAGGGGGACAGGCCCGACTTGATGCTCGGAGCGGAGGCTTCTTTAAGCGAGGTCGCTTCATGGGGGGGTGACGGATGGGGGAAGGGAAAACATGTGCCCTGCTTGGGGCCCCACAGGCCCCCTGATGGGGCCCCGGTTGTCGGAAGCCGGGCAAGGGCTGCGAAATCCGTGGCTGCTAAAAAACCGACCTCCGGGAAGTTGTCTTCGTCCTTCTGGGAAGAAGCCCGTTGACTGTTTCGCGTGCCGCGCCCCCTTCCGGGAAATTGTTTTTTCCTTCCGGGGGGGCCGTTTTAGGAGCCACGGTTTTAGCAGCCCTCGCCCAGCTTTCGAAGTTGGCCCCATCCAGGGTCTGACAGGGCCCCTTTTGTGCAGCCCTCGCCGCCCCTCAATGCATCGCCCGCCCCCCCCCGTCCGCCAGTACTTTTTGGTCAACAGGCTCGCGAGGCGGGTCGAAAGCCGCCCGAACACTCGCCATCGCTCGGACGTCCATTTTCCGTGCACTTTTCGTATTCGTGTGTGTTTTTTTCGCTCGATGGTCCAGGATGGTCCTCGACGGTTCTCGCCGAGAAAAAATGCACACGTCCGCGCGATGCCAGGAACACTAGTCGGGCCGCGACTAGGCAGCAGGAAAAGAAAGGCAAGCGAAGCGAGCGAGCGGGCAACCACTCAGAAGGAGAGCCAGAACCGATACTCCCAAACCCGGTGGTGTGGAAATCCCGGTGGCGACCAGCCGTCCGCCAGTACGCGCCCCCTCAATTTTACTGGCTTTCGGCCTGTGAGGGGGCCCTTTTTCCAAGCCCTGGGGCCCTCGACAAAACGGGCTCGGGATGGAAAGCCCGCCCTGGGGAAAGGGTCGGGGCTTCCAGGGACCAGGAGGAGGAGGAGGAGGCGGAGGAGGAGGACCAGGAGGAGGAGGAGGAGGAGAAGGAGGAGGAGGAGGAGGACCAGGAGGAGGAGGAGGAGGAGGAGGAGGAGGAGGAGGAGGAGG